TTATAACGTGAGCCCGGCAAATATGGAGAACCGACCACTACGACGCATTATGATTAATAGAGAAAAAAAATCCTATTTTTTCAAATATAAGTACCGTACTAAGTTCTTTCTTACAAACAGATTATGCGCACTGGAGCAACGGACGAGGTACTGTAATGAGCAAATGTAGCAATGGTAAGTCTCGATCTCATGTGGCGCTGTCCACACACTCAAAATTTCTGGCGTAGCGATATTATCATGTTCATACTACATTCAGATTTACTACAGTATTCACAAATCAGAATGTAAAAGAATGATGATAATTTTCTATAGGGAATTTCCTTTGGGAAATGTGTTATATATTTTTTTTTAAATTTAAAATACAAAGATAAATTGTTTTGACCTGTCATTAATTTTATACTACAAATAATTTTCATATTTAGAAGAAAAAAAAGCTAAAAAATGAATGACGTTTAGACTCCTCACTGCGTCATTTTCAATTTACATGAATGAGTCGAAACGTCGTTCATTCTTTAACGTTATTTTCCTTCCAAGGCTATGTTCTCACACGGCAGCTAACGGTTAGCAGGATCCGGATTCTGCTAACCGTTAGCTGCCGTGCGTCCATACGAGAAGATTCCGATACGGATACCAAGTATATGATGATCGAATCACTGGCCAATAAGAAACTGGAAATTGTAAACGCGTACGTGTGATTGGTTGATAATAGAAACGCGCTCAACTTGCTAACCGATAGCGCTTGCTAACCGTTAGCGGTATCCGGATACTGCTAACGGTTAACGCTGATCAGGCGTTCTCACACAGGTGCTAACGGTTAGCTCACGATCCGGATACTAGGGCTCTGGTGGTGTATGGAGCGCCGAAGGTGCGGCCGCGAATAATACTTTAATAGAACAAGGTGGCTTAGCAGTATACCGGCGGTGGTATCCACTGTGTGAGCTTTACAGTGGTGATCCTTAGATAGCCTTGGTCCCGGTTTATTTTCATCCGGTGCTCTCCTTATGTTCAGCTCTGGATTATTGCATTTTTTTGATGAGCAACATGACCCATGCGCGAAGAGCTTAGTGCACTCTTTAGAAATAAAGTAACGTCTCCAGGTGCCCAACCACAAGAGGGACTACACTATCCCTGGTTGACATCAAATAAATCCAACGCTAAACCCAATTCTAAATTCTTATATTTGATTTGAGTATTGTCTTCACACAACATCCTTCAAAAATTTGTAAGGCTTAACACGGTCTTTCCTGGGCTCCCGTCGTGAACTGAACTGAATTGAACTTTATTGAACATACGCTTTTAGATCAGCGGCACACATCAGAATGATGGTGCCTTCACAAAGGAAACATACAAAATCAAGAAAATAATAAAAAGAAAGCAAAACAAAGAAAAACAACGAGCAATCAAAATATAAAAGTTCTAAACAGAGGAGTATAAAAAAGTAGTTTAATACAGTATTTTACTGGTATTTGGAAATACAACAGTTAGCTAAGACCATCTCACTATTAATGCTATTATTAATGATATTAATATTATTATTGTTATTATTATTATTATTATTATTATTATTATTATTATTTTTACTACTATCATTACTGTATAGTAATTTTGTTTTTATTTTTATTTCACTATTACATTATTAATATTATGTTATAATTGTTCTTATGATTCTTAACATTTTTTTCGCAGCTGTTTTCAAATGTACTGAGTATTCGGTACATTTCCACGTCAGGTAGGGCAAAATTACACCTATACACGTTTCTCCTGACGCAAATCCAGTTTTTGTCTATTATTCCATCATGACAATAACAATTACTATCAACACTGCAGTACCCGCTGCATACTTGGACTCGAATTCAACGCTGGCCATCAGGCGCAAGCTCGGTGGTCTAGAGGTATGATGCCAGACTTGTGATCTGAAGATCGTGGGTTCGAGTCCCACCCGAGAACAACTTGCGATTTTTTTCGCAGCTGTTTTCAAATGTACTGAGTATTCGGTACATTTCCACGTCAGGTAGGGCAAAATTACACCTATACATTCTTAACATGGTCATATCATTTATTACCTTCAACATTATTAATTTTATTCCAGGAACTAATGTTACTAATTAAAAATATTATTATTATTATTATTATTATTATCATTATTATTATTATTATTATCGTCATTATTATCTTATTACTATTTTTGCAAATTCTTATTTATTCAATTATCTCTAATATTGCTAAGGCGTGTACATTGAAAAGAAGTCCTTTCGATGCTATCGTTATTACATAGTTTACAGTAACCTGTATGTTTATCATTAGACCATACACATTTTCTTCCTTCTAGATTCAACAAGTTAGTCCTTGCTTTAAACTTTAAACCAACAGATTTAAAATTCAGCTTATCAAACAGATATGTTTCTGCTTTTGGTATATGTCTGTATCTCATATATTCATTCAATGTTGATTTTGTTTTAGCCCTTTCGGCCCATTTCTCAGTATTATCCATTGAGTTTTCATGTATAAAACATTTCAGCCATAGTCTACCTTGACCTAAATTAAAGTTATCACTTAATTCGAACTTCTGTAATAATTCTTTTATGTGATTAATCCATTTCCATTTTAGATTATGTTGTACCTCCATTAATGCTTTACACAGAATCTTTTGCCATCTACACTCATCCATATTTTTAACACTATGGAAATAGCTCATCCTTAATCTGTCTTGAATGTGGTAGATAGATTCCCACAACCTAGATCTCCTAGAAGGTGCTTCCTCGATGGTTTAAACTACCTCCATGAGATTGTGCCCCCGGTGGTGCTATAAAAAAATACAAGACATTTGTGATCTGACTCAAAAGACAATCGAAATTCGAACAGCAGGACATCAATACAATAATCCTCTACTCTTATTATAGCATGGTTTCTGAAATTTCGATCAGCCGTATACTACGATTACGGGGCGCCAAACGACACACACTTGTTCTGTCACACAAAACCATGTTTTTAAGGGAGAAATCATGTTTTGTAATATACGAAAGTTATTCTGTCTTTACAAAACATGTTTTGTCTTTTACAAAACATGTTTTGTTCATTACAAAACATTGTTTTGTACAGACAAACATGGTTTTGTCTTTTACAAAATATGTTTTGTAAAGACAGAATAACTTTCGTATATTAAAAAACATGATTTGTCCCTACAAACATTGTTTTGCATGACAGAACAGGTAGTGTGTCGTTTGGCGCCCCGTAACGATGCTGGGTAGTTATCTGCAAATTAATATCTCAAGAATTAGCGTAGGTGGATTCAAGGGGCCCAGTCGGCCCACCAATTCCACTCCTTAAATCTTCCAAATTATAAAGGGGAAGAATGAAAATCACATTCAATTTTTTAGTCCAAGTGTGCCATTTCCGGCCATCTAGACGTGCCATTTCCGGCCATCTAGACGTGCCATAGAAATTTAAAAAAAATGTACCAGCCTAAGCCATGGTGGGACTGGGGTTGTCTAGATCTGCCATCTGTAAAATTAACTTTCAGGGGCCCCTCTGTTTCGAATCCCTGTATCCGTCACTGATTGTGGAATTATGTCTAGGCCTATGCAATAAGATGCCCAACAGGACCCTGCTTAATAACCCTTTTGAGAGGTCGTAAAAATAACCCATGGTTAGGTTAGCGCTCCTGTCTCTTATACACATCTAGATGTGTATAAGAGACAGATATATATATATATACATATATATATATATATATAGTAACTCCGATATTTCTACCACTCCTGTGGCCTTCATCAGCGAGAATAAGAGAAAACATCATTAATCATTATTATAAGCTATCTTATCAAAAATAAAGGTGACAGAGAGCAAATAAGTGATACTTATTAAACTGTAAAATAATTGGCCTATTTATCTATGTATACTAAGTCTCTACAATAATCAAGAACCAATGGTGTTAATTGCAGAGACCTGTCAAATAAGCTATCTATTGTATTGGTCAGCACAATAAAGATAAGATGGTTGTTTCACAGAAATGGATTATATGAACAGCAGCTCAATTTATACCTGATGTGCGGAATATAATTTCCTTATTCAAGTAAACCCGAATGGCAACCGGTACGGCACTGAATTTACCTATTCCAGGCAGCCCTAACCCGAGGAATAACGAACGAATTAGACTGAGCTTTTACGCTTATTATCAAACCAAATTTCTTTTTTAACCGACAATTCAAAGTTTAATGCTCTCGTCTGTTTTACACTTTATAGTGATCCCCTAATTCGTGACCTAATTCGTGGGACTCATTCCGCAATACTTCAAATAATCCATGGTATATCCATTCAACCTCCTTTGTGTTCAGAATATAGAATAAGACGTATGCCCAGGTTATTAGTCTCATAGTTAATTGTGAAATATTATCGTCTAATCGTCTAAAGCCTTATTTGCTGCCAAAATAAAAAATGGACGCGTCAATATACATGCTAAAAGTAATTTAATTCAAAGTTTAGTTCACCGCAATTTGATGCCCTCACCTGATGTCTGTTCCATTGTCTATCATCTTAGTTCATTATTTTGTATTATGTTTCTGAAAAAAAGTGTACGTTTTCATTTTTTTCCCGATTTACTAGTGAAACTTACGCCCGTATAAAATAAAAACAATACTTGAATTATTCTAATAAGTGTGTGTTAAAATAACTAACAGCCGGTTTGTAGATTATTATCTTATATTCACCCATGAGCAGCAATTATCAAACTGTAACGAATTTACAAATTTATGATCTTAAAATGCATGTAAATCTGACATTACTAAAACAAATTCAGTAATCCTATATAGACTGACCAAATTTAGCATTAGCTGTGTTTAATCTATAAAGCTTACTCTAAATCAATCTGTTCAATTGCGTTGGTGGTTACGATCTCTGATTGGCCGAAACTTCTTCAAGCCCAGTTCCTTGGGGAGTGTACTATTAATTCCCAGGGTCCAGTCGAGGAGAGACCATATCCCGAAATGAAGTTACCATATGTAATTTATCTGAAAACACCGATGCAGTTCAAGTGATCCAAGGTGAATGAATTACTTGTTGGTTTGCCAGACTTGGGGAAAGCAGGCAGCGTCTCGTAGCAGCGATTTTTTTTTTGCTGAGTTCGTAGACGTCTCGGCTGTAAATTCAACTTTTCGGCAGAAACAAGATGAGGGGCTGTAGCGTTCTCGCTGTTCTTGTTACTTTTGTTGCGTTGTCTGAATCAAGATACCATGACAAATCTGAAACCGTAAGTAGCCCTATAATTAATTTAATTAATTCTATTTATTTACCCGGTATGTTTGACAGTTGTGGCTGCAATTACAAATGGCAAATTAAAACACGTGTTTACCCTATATATTTTATTTGTTACAACTAATCAAAAAAGACACAAAAATCCAAACTTGATTTAAGTAAAATATAATTAAATATCATTGGTGAATAAAGAACCAGTGGCAGTAAGAGCAGTGACGTCACTATTGCGTCCTACATTATATGTTTATTATGAATTCACTCTGGCCTATTCTATGCACAATTTTATGCTTTAAAATCTAAATTATACAATTAATATTATGAGCGTGCCATAATAATGCTTGATTATTGTGGTTAAAGTATTGGGATGGAAATTGTCAATATTATGAATGTGGACACCGATGCTCTGCAATTCGTTAGTAGTTTTCACTTCTTCTTCTTCGTCATTATCTATTTCTTCTTCTTTCATTCTTTATTGGCAAAAAATAGTATAAACGAATGTAAGTCTTTTCAGAATCTACCTAAAGAAAATTCAGGATGAATTTATAAACGAACAAACACAATTGTTACAGTTTTTTTACTGCATTCATGGATATATCGAAGAAAGTCTCAACGATAATTTTCGTTGAGCTCTATAGATAGTCAATTGTATATAAGAAATGTTTTGTTCCAAAACTCCTAAGTATAGGTATAGATTCCTAAGCAATACTATCAGCGTGATTTGTGTAAAGTACTTGTTAATGTTCTTCATTAATATTGATTTTAAGAGACAACTTATAATGTTGATGTGTTTTCGTACACTTGGTAGAGGTTGATGTGGCTTAGTATACTTGGTAGATGTTTACCATTTGAGTCTACGTACACCTGGTAAATTTAATCAAGGGCATCATTACGCTTGGTACATGTTGATTATGCAACAGTAACTTACTTTACTCATTAAAAGGTTGTGTAAAGGTTAAAAGAAGAGTAAGCAAAGTCAGCTCCCCTGGGATCAACACAAAGGTTCTATAGCCTTGGATTAACTTGCCACGTTGTAACTATCGCTATGGTGTGCAACTAAAACTAGATTTACACTAGACACGATAACGACACGACAACGACATTATCATCGCGTAGTTTGTATTCTTCAACACTGCGCGCATCTGTATTATGTCGTTGTCGGGTCGCAATTGTGTCTAATGTAAATGTAGCTTTATTTGATTTTCACACGATTTTTTTTGTTTTTCAATAGAAATTTTAATACCAACCGAACCATAAGATTTTTTGCTGCATTATATTCATTCTTGGATTTTCAAATAAACACTATCCAATTATACATTTAAATCAAGCTCTTTATATGAGTACCGGTAATCTTAGTGCGCGTTTCAGTGTGTAGGCCTATTTAGATGTCATACATCAACAATGTAATACCAAAGTAAATGTTGCTTAGCCGAGGTTTTTGAACATGTAGAAGGGATGTAAGGAACCACTATCAATTATGTTAGGAATTGATATTGAATGATTTCTGTAGAGTATCTTATAGTACTGTTACGAAACAGACGCTTCAATTGGCTATCGATGATGGGATTAGGAAATCACCAAGTAGTGTCTGGTCTTCCACCCCTGTTAAAACGTGTATTGCTTCCGTTATATATGGAACGAAACCGAGTAGATATCTTTAACAATGTCTAAGCCGTAAAAATTGCAATAATTGTTGACTGACAACTAGTTAAATTGTACAGCCACTAGATAACAAACAAACAAATACACAATTAAAAAGGAAGCCCAGGAGATGGAAGCCTATTTCCACTCTGGATGTCCAGTGAGATATAAATGTCAATATTAGTCTTCGAACTACTTGGTGAATAAAGCATACGCCCTTGAAGTAACTGCATACTATAATTATAAAATGATAGCATGAAAATTACTACAAGTACAGTATGGATAGACTTATCATATTGTTATACTTATATATTATAATATATTTTTATTGTAGGCCCTAAAGTATATCATACTCACATTATTACAGTAGGCCGGCCATGTGTAGGTGTGCATGTAGGCACTGTTAGTGTTATTATTTTTTTTATTATTATGTTTTGTGTACAATGCTACACAGCAAAACAAATTTGGTAAAAAACCAAAATACAATATATTGTAAAAAGAATCCGCTAATAGGAAAAGAAATTCCGAAAGTCAAACCGAACTCAAACTTCTACTTTCACGCTCTTTCTATAGATAGGCCTATACGCTCAACATCGCAATTTATGTATCACAAGGTAATTGGTAAGGCTTTAAAATACAATATAACACAGCATAAAATAACAGTATATATTCTAATTTGATTTCAATTTTTGGAGTATTTCTTCTTACAATTTTCAAATAAGAATCTGAAAGATTTACTCTCAAGATCTCGAAGACAGGCATCTCGATATTCTAGGAAGTACAACGAATACATGATAGAATCAGCAAAAATTCTCCTTGACGCAGTGGGCACTGACTGTAAGCTTCACCGTTTCTTACTGAATATTCGTAATGATGCGCATGTATAATTGTTGCAGTAAGCGCATTTTAAGAATGTAATGCATATCAAATAATTAAAATAAATGAGTATAAATAAATAAATAAATGAGTGAATACATGAATACAATAAACAACTGAGAGAACGAAGTAACGAACAGACGGAGGGCAGACTGAGTGAGTAAGTACGTGAGCGACTGACTGACTGACTGCCGAGTAAATAAGTAAATAAAGGCATAAATGGATTGATGAAGAATGACTTAGAATATTAGCTTAGATTCAAATTTAGGTCATAATTATAAACCTTATTTGTTGTTGTTCGGGGAGGCATTGATAAGAATATGATTATTTATAGTTTGCAAGGGTGATCCATATAGAGGTGCGCAGTGTTTTGAGGAGGAGCTGTGTGTCGCTTGGGAAGAGATCTGTGATGGGTACCAAACATGTGCGCTAGGTCAGCTATCGGCTTGCCTAAATCAGACACTCCACGATTACGGATATGAAGATAAGTCGAAATGTTCTGGAGAGGAGAAGCAGGAATGGTGTGCATTACGTCTGTACACCCCTACAAGTAAATATATAGCATTCTTTAATTTAATAAACAAAATTGTAACTGTAATTGGAATTACAAACAAATAATGTAATTATAAATTACAATTTAATACTGTAATACAAATTACAAAAATAAAAACAATTGTGATTGTAGTGGTTGAAGTGCAGATGCCCATTTTCGTAGATGTTGCCACTAACAGTTGCCAAACTAAGTTGTTTGGAAGGTGATTTTTAACTACTTGAGCGTACTTAAGTGCATGGCTTTAAACATTTCCAGTGGGGAGGCGACTGGGAGTGGCGACTGGGAAGGGGGAACTTATTTACTACTACCTGTACTTTTTTTGCTGTTGTTGATGTTATTATTATTATTATCATAGAACCAAAACATCTTTATTTAGACATATTTATTGGATATGTGATAGACAAGAGAATCCTCTTATAGTACGGTACTGTATCTTAATATTCTAATAGGTCAATAATAATATTATATTATTCCAAACAAATTTATTAGTATAATAATATAAACATCAATTTTGAAAAATGTTTATTTACTACAAGGATGTGGTCGGGATATTGAACTGAAAGCGCAGGGTAGAGAGACTATTACATCACCCAACTACCCCGCTCGCTACGAGGATGACATGGAGTGCTTCTGGAGTGTCAAGGTACCCGAGGGACGCAAGATTACTGTATCGATCAAAGACTTCCAGACTGAGCCAGAAGTGGACTACGTCAGCATGGGTAACGGATTGAGAGATACAAAGGTATAGTGTTATTATAATGTTTACTATCATAATAATTAATATTCAGAATAACCAATTTTGATCTCCGCACTGGTACATATTTACCAGATGCTTAACATCATTTGGTTGTCAGTTCAGAAACTAGTTAAAAATACAATCGTCTGTCCAGCGGATATCAATCCAAACCAAATCCAATCTAAATTTATACCTAATAGGTGCATAATACAGTACTATGTCTATCTATGCGCCAAAAATAAGTGCACGGAAAAAAGAATTAAATGGAGAATATGGTTTATTTGGAGGAAAAGGGAAAACGGAAGAAACCAAAACGAAAAATGCAAATGACAAAAAATTAAAAATTAAGCTGAAAATTGAATTTTAATGCTCATTTTGAAATTGCCTGTACCAGGTCTCTAAAGTTGCTTTAAATGCATTTGAATAAATGTATAATCTTTTATGACATCAACTGTTCAAAGTTTTGGTTGTGTAGTAAATTTTAAAGAAGTTATACAGGCCTCTGTGTGTTAGATGTCACATTTCAGGAAATTATCATAATGTTCCAATGATGTCAAGTGTCTAATGTTTAGATCATTTGCATCAATTTGTATTGTTAAGCCATTTGGGTCAAATACAAAAAGGCTACAATGAAACGTTTGGAAGTGCTACAACGATTCCTCTGGGAGTTTTTCAGACCATGGTGGAATATTTCCTCCATGCTCAGATTATACAACTACGTCACTGCGCAGTATGCTAGTCGACAAAAACGTTTCATATTTTTAGGGTGTTTGTCTATTTTTTTTAGAGTTAAAGGCATATGCTTGCCAGACATACCATGTAATCATTTGTACATGTAATGCGTCTACAATTTTCAAATGTGGGAAACAGAATGAACTGCTCCACTAACGTTTCTGGTTAATCTTTCCTAGTAATGTCAGTAATTAGTTTTACGTTATATAAAACGTTTTTCTTTTCTTTCATTTTTCTCTAATATTTAAAACCGGTTTCAGATACGAAACAAGCAAAAACATAAATATATATATATTTTGTTTTGCAGAAAAAAGAAAACTATATCATCTATCGCCACACTGGATTAGATTTACCAAAACCTAAAAACTTCACCACCTCTGGTAACGAATTGTTCATCACATTTACCAGCGATGATTGGGATCGAGAGGCTGGCTTCAATATTGATGTAGCTGATTCAGCAGTGTATGGTATGGTACTAACGCTTTATATTAATTATTCAATTGTATATAATTGAAAAAAGAAAGTTAGATAAAAACATTTATTTCGTATTAAATTCCACTTTTTAATACAAAGGTTATTATTTCTCATAAAGACCCACAAGTACCAGTTGCCAGCAGTCCATTCCCGTTCAAAGTTGACAGAAGTGAGTAAAACAAATCTCTTTTCAATTCTTACCATAAGATTTAAATAACCGTTAAATTCACCACTGTCGTTACCTGTGTTGCTTCGATTGATTGATTTTTAGTTAGATGATTAATTAATCAAATAATCATTTATTGAAGACTGCAACGAGAAAATAGAACTAGATGTTGGTGAGTCGAAAAAGATTACATCGCCAAACCATCCAGGATATTACAACAACAGTCAAAGTTGCACGTGGTCTGTCAGAATCACACCTGGTCGACGAGTAGGTATAACTTTTACAAGATTTGATGTCGAAGATATTGTTGATAGGGTAGAGGTAGGATCTGGAGCCGAACCCGCTCTACCAGAAAAAGTTTTTACAGGAAGGTAGGCTATAAAATGACATGGTATTATAAATTACAAATTGTGGTTGTAATAGGCTATTAAATCTATTTGGCAATTATATCCAAAGATAATAATATTAATTGTTGTTAGTAGTATTTATATTAATATTATTTTTTATGCAAAGTATTGTACACCATTATCAAGGTAGACACGAAAAGATCAACCTACTGTATTATTGACTGATGATAATTGTAAAAAAGAAAATGGATTTTAGAAAATACATAAATAATACTGTATATATGATATATGATGATATATATATTTATATATAAAAAGTATATAATGTATAAATCAAATAGATTTTAATACAGTGCTCAAATAATATAGGAACATGATGTTAAAACAATTGTATAAAAATATTATATATACAAATTATATATATTTATAAATATATATGTATATAATAATATGTATATGTATATGTATGTTTATGTATATATATCCTTATACATACATATATGTATAAGTATATATATATATATATGTATATATATTGTATGTTTTCGCCAACTGTCTCTTATACACATCTATATTTCGGATATTTCAAATGTTTCATAATCTTATGTTTCAGGGATTTACCAGACCCTTTCGTTTCATCTACAAGTGAATTGTGGGTACGGTTGGTCACGAATCCTGCTCTACGAAGGACTGGATTCGAAGCTATTGTTCGTGACCAGCCCTATAATGGTACGAGGTGCTTTCTTTCATTGAAAAAAAAAAAATCAACTATTACAAAGTTAAGCGTATCTTTCAAAATTTTTTGTGGAGAAATAGACGGGATACACACTTATCTTACATACGGCGCGAGCTGCACGTCGGCCCGGTCGCATTAGACCCCTAACTTGAGCGTTGCCATTCGATTCAAGTGGCCGAATGATTGAGCTGCTGGTCAGATTCGCTGGGTGGGTCATCTTAATTTCGAAGGTATCTATTGAACCAGATAATCGCCATAACTAGGTGGATCATCCTCATCATATAGGCATACGATGTAAATGTATGTTCATTATGATTATCTTGTTAATTCCAGAGTGTGGTGGTGACATTGAAATTCCGGACAGGGGGAGCTCCTCTATTGCATCTCCATACTACCCCGATCGTTCATACACCCTCGACGCATTCTGCTTATGGAAGGTTAAGTCGCCACCTGGTACAGAGTTGAGCTTTTACTTCAGGGATTTCCGTACCGAATATATGTTTGATAGCATGAGCTTAGGAAGTGGCGAAAAACCTGCCGTTAATGGTGAAAACTATGCTATCACACTACACACGGGCACAAAACTACCAGAACCTGCAAACATCACAATTGGAAACAATCTAGCTTGGTTGGTGTTTTCTTCAGATTATTCACAGGCAGATAAAGGTTTCTTTGTCGATGTTTACGATGCTGCCGTCAAAAGTAAGTAACTCATCGACCCAAAACGGAGGTTGGCCTCCATCATTAAATACACCATTCATGCAGATGGTAGGCCTAAATATTTTTCAAGAACATCGTGTGTAATCTTTTTACAAAGAAATGGCAAATGCTTACTATTGTAATACAGTACATGCATTTGTTTGATAACTGTCTGTGTTAAAGCAAATATTTTAATATTTTTTTCCTTAATTATTTTGCTGGTATTAATTTAATGTCGATGTATACACCATGATAAAGGTACCAACATGACCAGCAATTGATGTATGATTCACCTTCACTATACTGTATAGGCCTGTGGTTCAAATACTATGAATATTATGAAATTATGAAATAAATATTTAAAGCACACCATTTATTTATATTTTAGAGTCCAATACAACATTTCGACCCAAAGAAGGGCCAAAGGTGGACAACGGTAAGAAAATGTCTTATTCAACTGATGACAATAATTATAACCAGTCATCATGCATTGGGGATTCAATTTATTTGGTGTAACATGGTAATTTGCTATGGCATATGCGTGCGCTGAACGGCGTTGATTATTAAGTCTTTAGTTCAATTGCATTGGTAGTCACGGTGTGTGCCCTGTACCGTGGAGATCATTAAGTCTCTGATGCAATTTTATCGCTGTTCTCATTGGTAGCCACTGTGTGTGTACTGAACCGTGAAAATCACAGGTCTTTGGTTTAGTTGCATCACTGCAGCTCTCATTGGTGTTGATATCTTGAAATTACATATCGCATGTCTTTCTGAAGAAACATTCAAACCACCGGTTCCATGTAGATTATTTCCTTGTGCATATTAAAGAACACTACATGATTTTCTTCCGGCATATATTACATTATCAATTGTATTTAATATTGATTCCTTTTTATTTCCATTAAGGGTGTGGCGACATCATAGTAGTAAAGAAAACCAATTTTGAGCTAAGTTCACCTGGCTCTCCTAACTACAACCCAATGATGGATTGCACGTGGTTATTGTCTTTCCCAATCGCAGCGGAGGTAAATAGATTTTGTTGGTGGTTATTCATCCAAAAAAAAACTCCTAACAAATATAGCAGTAAAATATAGACAAAACATACACCAAACCACCTTAGTGACTTTAAAATATAATTGGCCTATAATAAAACGATACAAATAATCAGGTACAAAAAGCGTTCAAAAAATAAGGTTAACAAAGACATATCATTCGTTATTCATGATAACCTAACTATTTGTTTGGAGTACTGCTCTTTCTGTACCAGCAATTACCGTATGTTTTGTACTACATAAATCGGGGCAATATTAAATATTAAGGCATATATGTTTTAAAAACTAAATTACACCTATCATTGAGGCATATTTAAATGAAATAATTTAGTCATTCCTAATTGTTGTTTTGTTTCCTCTTCCATTGAGAAATGTGGGCTTAAAAGTACTGGAAAAATGATGGGACCATATATATTACGTCCCTCAAACTTTTAAACTTGAGGGGAGGTATCACCACTGTCTTCCGTCGATTGACGTCCATGCTGTTTCACCATTTAAATTTTGTACATTAAAAAAATGTTGTATTCTTACATTTTTTGTTTAATGCTTAATTATTAGAGCTGAGCGTATCCCATGTTACTGCTTCTTGTGCTGAAGACTCCAGCTCAAACCCGGCCAGCGTCGGGTTTTCAAAGGCTGTGTTCTCACACGGCTGCTAACGGTTAGCAGGATCCGGATCCTGCTAACCGTCAGCTGCCGTGCGTTCATACGAGAAAATCCCGATCAGGATACCAAAAATATGATGATCGAATCACTGGCCAATAAGAAACTGGAAATTGTAAACGCGTACGTGTGATTGGTTGATGATAAAAACGCGCTCAACTTGCTAACTGTTAGCGGTATCCGGATACTGCTAACTGTTCGCGCTAATTGATCAGGCGTTCTCACGCAAGTGCTAACGGTTAGCGCTAACGGTTAGCTCCCGATCCGGATACTAGGGCTCTCGTGAGAACCAGGCTTTTGAGTCAGATCGCTCTGCTCCTCGAATAACCCTCGCATGAGAGCTAGGCCGGACGCATGCAGGCGGGACAAGGCACAATTATGTATCCATTATATGTCGTACTGGCGCTGCACTGCGGCTGCCCCACAGGTCCCCAGACGCCCAGTCAAAATTTCAAATTTCAAGTATTTGGAACCGGACGAAAAAGAAAATTTAGTTATTTTTTAAATTTATTTTTATCATTTATAATTCTGTATCTAATCTTTGTTGGGGACCCCCTTCTGAAACAAGCCTACCAGCTTAAAGTGTTATCTTCTGTGTCCATTTTATCAATGTTTTGCTTTTGTTTACGCTATCTTTTATGGAGCTATATCTATATTTATGCATACGAAACTTTACCTTATAAGCCCATAAATATATTGAATAGGCCTACGCTAGGTGCTAAATATTATACTGCCTCGTATTATCCTGTATTAAGATGACTATTTCTGTTTCTCAAAGTTATACGTACGGTTTATGAGATTCGAAACAGAGATGGCAAATGACTTGTTTGAGATGGGAACTGGCAACGATGCAGATGACCCAAGTTCAATATTTCTGTCACACAGTGGTACAGATAGACCTTACGACTTCTTCTCTAATGCAACTGATCTTTGGATTCGATTCAGGACTAACTTCATTGTCGAAATGAAGGGATGGAGCATAGAATTCGATTCCTTGCCTGACACTAGTGAGTACTCTTATGCATTTTCTTAATTATGTTATTTTATCTTTCAGTTCGGTTGTGTAAATAATTCATAATTTCAGTAGTACAGTGTACTTTCGTATCATTTATTCCAAGCCATTCATGATGTTTATAATTGATACATTATAGTATAGACTTAAATTGATGGATACATAACAGAATAATGATGGTATTGTATGGAAAAGATCATAAAATAAGCAGAGATATAATACTTGTGACCTGTACTGATAAAATAATAACAATAAATAGCAAGCATAATCATAATAATTCGTAATAACCATAATAATAACAAATAGTACGTCGCTCACATCACGAACTAACACAATTAAATTCAATTGTGTTAGTTCGTGAAATCAAAAAAGCGCGTCAAAATACGCGCTGTTGTTGTTAATGACTTTTTATGTGGTAAAGAATACAAAAT